TCTTCTTTTTTTTTTTGGCAATGAGCGATAGATGAATGAAGGGTAGTTTCTCAAGAGTAAAAAAACATATGTAAACATCATTTCACAATGTCGAAACAAAAAAATCATCACAAACCATGAATAAAGCGCCACACAAACAAATAAAAAAAAAAGAAGAAAAATAATTAAAAAAATAAGCAAGTTTTTCTTACTAATTTAGTGAGTTTCTCCTGATCTCCTCCAATAACTTCATTTAACAAACCCTCCTTTAACATAACAAAATACAGAAAAAGAAGTGTCGTTAAGGTTCCATCATCTTCAAATTTCGATATAAATTTCTTCATACTTCTTTGGATCGTAAGGCTGCATTTGTTCTTGCAAAAAATATGGGCACAAATCGTATTTCAAATTACGGAAAAAATAAAATTAGTAAATACATTAGCATAACTGTGAAGTAGTTTAGCCGTTCAGCTAAGTATGTTCATGACATCGGGTAGTCTCTCTAGGAAGGTTTGAAATTGGGTTTGGACTATGATCTAGAGAAGGTTGTTTGAAATTGGATTTGGACTATGATCAATCACAAGGACGATCAATAAATCCTACACTCATCGTGAGTTTGGAGGGTTGATCAAACTGAAGAGAGTGCATCTAAACTAAGTGAAAGCAAGAAAGTCACTAGTCCCACTAAAAGAAAATAAAAAGCACACCAAGTACCAAAGACTCAAATATGGAAAGGAAAAACTTTGTGTTTCGAAATATGAAATTGAACAATCAAATGCTAGGCTAGAACATAATTGAGCAACTACACCAACCATGTACTACAACAAGTCAGTATAGTAACAGATACCTAGTTTTACCGTCATTTCGCAACGTGTTTGGTCCTTCAGCTACAGGTCGGCGAACGACAGCAGTCAGCTCTTTCACTCATCCGATCTGGATGCGCATGGTGATCACTGAATCTGCCTCGACCTCTCCTCCCTAGAACTTAGGTTGGGGCTAAATATGACAGCTCTTCCGACATGGCTTGTCATGTTTGCTCCCCCGACGTTCGTTTCTTTCCCGACTGAACGCACGAGAGCTCTTATCTGGACTTATACTCGTTTTCTCGCTAGATCTTACTAACCACTCGAGTAAGCCAGAGTTTTATTTCCGAGTCCTCTAAATCTTTTAGTTTCTTGATTGTGGAGTTTGACTAGCTGGCGATCGTAGCGGTTAGTTCGCGAGAAGCAAGAGAGGTAGTATTCTATTATTAGAAAGCGTGTGTGTGTGTGTGTTTTTTTCTTTTTCCTATTTAGGTTCTCTTGTTTTTGTTTGTGGTTTGTTATTTGAGTTTGTTATTCTCCACCAGCGAAAGTTTTTAGTGTTGTTTTAGTTTGATTTTTAGTTTGTGTTAGCAAATATAGGCTACCATGGAGTATTCCTCTCTCGATTCAATTTAGTAGTTGGTTGATTCAATTATCTTTAAGAGCATCCAGAATGCTTTGGGTTCAATCACAAAAAATTGTACGCCACATAATAAATAGATCTAATCTAAAAAATGTATTCTCCAATGCAAACAAAAGTGGACTGGGTTCTGCTGATGTGACAGTCAGAAAAAGAGACCTGGTCTACCCTTAAGTCTATTTTAGACCCAAGTAGAGACCTAGTCTCCTTGCATTGGAGTGAATTTTATCAAATTTAGATAATTTTATCCATATCATCAAAGACTTGTGTTTATTTACATGCCACACAGACAAGACTAGACTCAATGTATTGTAGATGCTTTAACTATTCTAGTATGTAAATATTTGTGTCTATTAATTAAGAGTCTATCGTTAAAAAAATATGGAAAGGTCTAATGTCAATTTGGTAAAGATCCCCAATAAAAAATCTATTGAAAATAGACAAAGAAAGCCGAGCAACATGAATCAAGAAAGCATTAGCATGCACTGTCCATGAAATCGACAAGCAAATCTTGAACCAGAGCTCTATCTGGCATTTTCCCAGCAGCACCATATATCGGAGCAAGTCCTCCATTAACTGGACCCGGATTTTCCTTAACCTGGTGGGAAATTCTAAGTAATTAGAAGCACTATTTCTACCAACAAAATGTTTAAAGGTAGGAGGTTATAGAAAAATAATGCATTTACAGTTTGCACAGAATCTCGCAGATCCCTCAGGAAATCTTCAACGACACTCACATGTTGAAGGGTCACGCAGATATGAATGCTGATAAGACAAACAATTGGAAAATGATCTCAGCAAAAATCTTCTACGAGTAGGAGATAAAAGCTATAAAAATATAAAACCCCATAAAACTTTAAAATGGTAACTTGTAAATGAATCGGCATTAATATCAATGAGTTGAAAAGGTAGTAATATACTTGTAGCTTTTTATGCCTCGCGTTACACAGAATATATTGTTCTAGCAAGGGCTTACCTGTTAGGCCTCTGTAGGGCATTCAAATGCCATCCTTTTGATGACATAATATCATTCACTTCAAATATGTCCATAATGTCAGATCCAAAAGCCACAATTGTCATATCGGGCCTTCCAATAATGAACAATTCTGGAATCTCCAGGACTCTGTTATTAAGGCCATCATGATTATAAGCATAGATCTAAATCGAAAAGACAAGAATAGATATAGTGACATCAACCCTTTTTCTATTCGCTTTGAAGCTTCCATAATCTTCCTTGTGTTGTCCAGATATCCTGTTCATCTTAAATCTAAAAATTAGCCCTGCGCCATGCAACTAACTCCAGATATAGATAACCAATGGTAAAAAGGAAAAAAAATAAAAAAAATAAATAACAACTCACCTTCGTGACCAAGAGACATCATTGCTGCCCACGCCCCAGCAATCAGACCCCCCGGCCTGCTCCCAGCAATTGTTGGAGATATATAAAGTCCACCAGTCCATTCAGTGACTAGAATATTAACACAAAGAAAAAAAAAACAACATAGTTGAATTTTGTTAGGGAAAGAAGAATGCATTTGGATTATATAAGATAATGGTGGCTGCAGAAATCACTATGAACTGCTTGCTTTAAAGATTCTGTTTGCCTAAAGTCAATTGGAAATATATCTCACTCCAAACTTGATCGGCAGAAGGTGTATCCAATCGAAATTCATAAAGACCTTTTTAAGACTTTTAGAATCTATATATATTTATACACACACACACACAGAGGGGTTTGAAATTTACTTGAAAATAGTATGTGTAATTTTTCAAAACACTTTTAGTTACTAAATGAAAAAATGAATTTCTGTAGAATTCGTTATTTATTATCTTTTTTACTTTTTAGCATTCTATATTTTCTTAAAAGTAATGTTTTTTAAACAATTATAATGAATATTGCAAGATTACTCTAATTGAATTATAAATAATTTGACAATATACAAAATAATAATTATAACAATTTGTCTTAGATTATATATAAAATGAAAATATAATTTATTTAAAAGAATTTTTTTTTGTTATATCACCATCCGTTTATGATATTTAATAACTTGTGAATAATATACTACAAAAAATTAATTAATATGCAAAGTATATCTGCTATGTAGTAAAATCATGTTGGTATTAAGTCATCGTCTCAGTTGCATAATTAACCAATAATTTATTTATTTTTTAAAATTATTGAGTTACTTTTTTAATAAATATGCATAAAGTAAGAAATAATTAATTTCTTTCAGATATGTAATTTATAATTTTAACATACTGTCATTTGTTATAAACACTTACTACATGAAGCATAAAATATTTTTTTTTTTTTTTACAAAATTAAATATAATTAGGAAATAAGAAAATATCTTTCGATAAATTGAATTAGGTTACTGTCCAGATTGAGATGGATTGAGTTACTTATAGGCGGTATTTAAAATAAACCAAAAACATTACACAACCGAGTTGATCTGGGTGACCATAGTCAGTTGCCAGACCAAATCGATTATTGAAACCAAATGTAAATTTTAATATTAAAAACTTTATTACGATAAAGTAATGCAGTCCAAACTTCAACTAATCATGAATGTTTAGTAACATGTTCAATGATTTATGAACATTTATACATCATTTTATTAGAACTTATGTAATAAAATAATATTGTACTACAATTTTTATTAGTGTACGGTAAATTCAAGATTCTCATAATCGGACGTTATCGAACCGATAAATTTAATTATCCAATAATTTATTAGTTGGACCAAAAAATTAATTTATAAATATTTGAATATATATATATAGTAATTTTTTGATATATTCGTACAAAAATTATTAATTAAATATTTGAAAATTTTGAACTTTTCAATATTTTTAAACGATTTGATAAATAATTTATAAGTACTCATTTTATTTAAATATATATTTTTATTTATATTAAAAATAATTTGAAATGTAAACAAAAAATTAAAAATGGTGTCAATCCTACTAGTCCGACTGGCTGGTGTTGACTGATTCGCTAGCAAACATTTTATTTAAGCGAACATGATCTGTCAATCCGGTCAGACTTTTGATCCGATTTCAATCTGATTTCATGACAAGTAACTCATGTTTAAGCATGTGCTCGTTTAATAAACGAACATAAGGCACAACTCAATTACGACCTGTTGAAGCTCGCAAAAGCTCAAATTGGCTAGGCTCGTTCAATAATTTCATGAAAACACAATATCTTCACACATAAGTTCGACACAATTTTGTATTTGATAAGAAATACCAAATAAAAATAAAAATATTACATGAACCAACTCACTTCAGCTCTTTTGATAAACAAGTTCAATTGGTTGTTCAAAATTGAATCATTTAAAGAAAAAAACAAAGATGTCGAGCTTCAGTTTTCACTTCTGTTTGCGAATAACTCTGTTTGAATAATAACTTTAGAGTTGATTCACAATTTTTTAGAGGATTAATTCAGTCAACTTTTACTTATACAATTTTAATTTTACTTGCACATTTGTAATGCTGCAAAACTATTATTTTTCTTTCTTTTGGTGATTACTATAAGAACTTATTTTAGTTTAATATATTTTTTTATAATAAAAATTAACTTAACTTTATCGATATTAGTCATTATGTAACTTTGCGAACATTTCATTTCATGCAACGTAATAGTTATATATGTCTTAATAAATTTCAAAAACTATATATGAAAAATTTTTAAGTATGTAAGCTGTTGTTTGAATTCCTTATGATACACAAGTGAAACAAGTTCTCCAGTTTAAGAATTCTATGAAAATATCATAAAATCCACCGAAGTCGTTAAACTTTCACAAAGTCCACCAAAGTCACTTACTTCAAAAAGTTCTAAAAAAACTTTAAAAGTTTCAATTGAATACATTCTTTTCAGTTTCACTTGATAAAAATATAAAAGGTATTTCGAAATGAGAAGCGACTCACCAGCAACAAATTGATGCTATACAAATAATGCATAGCCCAAATTGATCCCGCACATGACAAACCAACAGAAAGACCAAAAGCAAAGAGAGTTAAATATCTCTGTAAAGCATCAAAATCAGCACCAACATCAGTAAATAAGGGACAAAATATAAATTACACTCCATGTTGCACATCACGAGAAAATATGATCTTATTGTTAGCATGGGGATTTGGATATATCTCCTTGATTCTCTCTACTATTTTGCTTTATTTATTCTTGATTTCAAGGAAGTTGTCTTTCCTTTTTAGTTAAAACACCCAGTTGTGGATTATGCAAGGGAAGAATCAATGAATGTTGGTTGGGCGATATTTGTTAAAAAAACTTATTATTTAATTAATTAATAATGGCAAGATCTTTTCAAAATTTTTAACTTATTTAATTTATAATATCAACAGTTATTTTTTGTAGTACAAAAGCTCACCCAAGTGCTATTCACTGATAGGGGTTCAAACATGCAATGAACCTAAAATTCAACTTATAAAGGAATCTATAAATATATAATAAACAAAATTTGTTTACCATAAAATATCTTAAACAAATCTTTTTGATGTATTTTCCACGTAAGTTTGAATAAGTATAAAAAAGTAATGTTGTGATGTAAATGTCAATGTTTATGTTGAAAACAAACATATACAGAGTACTAATGTAGTAAAGAATCGAATAAATATAGAATAGAACTGGAAAAAATACAATGAACCCAAAAAAAAAAAAAAAAAAAATAATGTTGCTATCCTTCAATATTCCATCTCTATTTTTTCTTAAGGGTCATGTAACATATATTATAAACTTGTGCATCCACAAGGTTAAAAACGTCCAAACTAATATCCATCGTCAGCAAGTTACCCTCTTTGTGAAATAAAAGACTTGTGCAAAAGGTAAAACACGTCCAACTAATATCCATCTATGTCAACGATGCAAGTTAAGTTATCCTCTTTGTGAAATAAAAGACTTGTGAAACAAGAACAATAAAGTTAAGTGATGGCATGGTAACATACACCTCATTTATATTGATGCTCACTATGAAAAAAATTTATATTATATATTGGTCGTGTTTGGCTATTAGCTAATAGAAGATGGAGAATAATTGATTGTCTTAGCAAATATAATAACTGATTTGACTAATAGATTGTATTAGCGGTTTTAAATGAGTGCATCGTAAATAGCGGTTTTTATAGCTTTGTGTTGCCATGTTATTTTATAAATCATCTATATTCAAAATGCGGTTTTGTTGATCTTTTTAATAGTTAGCATTCTGGGTCCAAAAAGTTACACAAATAAGCATATTACCAGACAAGTAGTATGCAGTTTGTGCGATGCACGATACAATAATGATAAACTTATAAATTAAAGCAATGATAGTTTTGAATTTTAATATCAACTTTTGTCTTTTACTTTATTTTTATGATGCATAATAGTTCAGTATATGATTTATATATGTATTACACTCATTATAAAATAGTAGTAATTTTAGTGTTTCTGTTAGAATTAAGAAAAAAAAATAACATATTTAAACATTATCATAAAATAATACTTGACAAAAATATTTCTCTCTTCCCTTACTCATACTTTATTATGCTTCAGACTCTCAAATAAATGATGATGGTAAAATTGAATTGGCAAATGTTATAAACCGAAACTTGATTAGAAAAGTTGTAGTGTATATAATTTAAAGTTAAAATTTTTTTAATTTTCATTATGCTAATTTTTATTATAATTTATAATAATGTATATTTGTAAAAAATGAGTTTTCATTTTAATTATAATTCACATAGTTGTTCAATACCAGATGATTTAATAATAAATATTTTTTTTTCTAATATAACAATTTACATTTTGTTTGACATATTGACTCGTTGGTTTATCATTATAATTTATAACAATATATATAATAAGTAATTTGATTTCTCTTTCTAAATTAATAATCGACATGGATAATTCAACATAAGATGATTCGTTTGCTTGTAATCACAATTTGTAACAATATATATTTATTTTTCTTTCCAAGTTTAAATGTGTATTTCAATGTTATAAAATAATTGTCATTTTAGAGTTCCTGATTAATAATATTATTAATGAACATGAAAAATTAACATATTAATAATTAACGATATATAATACTCACAAAAACAATTTTTTCCCTTACTCACTTTATCACAATATCTGATGTTGATTCCGAAGTAAATAATGGTATAACCGAAAAAAAATAATAGTAAATATTATTAACTAACACTTTATTTAATAATAATATTATATATATTACTTTGAATTGATAAAATTTACTAATTTTTAATTGAGATTTTGACAAAAGTATTTAATTTTTTATATTGTATATAATAAATAATATTTCATTATTTTTTAATTAATATTAAATAATAAATTTAAGTGCATTTTATAAGTGCAATATTAAATAATGAACTTATTAATACTTTAAAAGTAATAATTTTTTATTTAAACATACAATATATGGGTCAAACCTTTAAACGAGGTTTAATTCGCTAATTTAAAACCAATCCACTTAAATTCAAATGAGTTTACGAATTTGTGCATTGTGCAAAATTAGCTCTAGTTTATATATTAATTAAAAAATTGAATTTAATTGGCACGATAAAAAATGTATCTCATATAAAAATATAAGCAATGACTATGGGGCCTCAAAGTTCTATGTAAACAAAACTAACTCCAACTCACAGGCATAAAACCAACTCAGAGACCATATATGGTAGAAGAAAATTATTAAATGGACTAAATGACCAAAACATTGACATGTTTAATATGAATTCTAAACACCACATGAAATAGGTTCTTGTACAAATATGATCGAGTTTATGAAAATAACGATGATGATGACGACAATGATGACGATAATAATAATAAGATACTAGTTACAAAAGATAACTGATAGCATAGAAGTACCATAATCGTAAGAAAGGAAATAAAAAAAAATTGAGGAATTTAATGCATTACCTTCCGTAAGTCACGATTCCTATACAAGACCACACTTGTTCCTTTAGGAGCCAGCCCATACTTGTGTACATCCACAGATATAGAGGTTACTCCTTTAACAGAGAAATCAAATGGTGGTATGGTGTATCTAGGAAATAAATGTTAGACTTCATCAGCCAACTAATTTGCAAAAGGATAACTAAAAACATAAAGTTCATGGAGTTATTCTAGCGCCTAAAAGTTGACCAACAAGAGCCTACCCGTGATAATATTTGATGAATAAATATCTCATAATCAGAAAAATATAGAAAAGTGACGCATATATGATGGTAGCTTGCAAACAGGCAACAAAGATAAAATTAAAAGGTGTCAATTACAAAAATGAGGTAACAGAGCTATTTCATGATCATAGACAATTTTTCTACAATATTGGTTTCTCTATATTTCACACCATTAGCTAGTTCTTAAAGAACATTGATGGGTAGTAATGTTAAAGGAAATGCCGACAGGACATATAGTCGTACATCTCTAGCTGCCTCAGTGCCATAAAGATTAGGTCAATTAGATACTTAAAAAATGCATTAGAGTGAAAGTTTCATCAATTAACAATATCTTGAATAACTTTTATGTGACTATATCCCCCCACGAAAACAAAGGCCAGAAAATATTTTCAATTTTGAAAACCTAGCTCCTACAGTAACTATCCACAAGTAACCATATATAGCTCATCAGATTCATGATGAAACTGAACAATGAAACTGTCTCGATCGGAATGAAGAAAGGCACCATTGTTTATAGAACAACCAGAGGAGGTTATGTCAGCATGAAGAGACATTTGAAGACCATGAAATTTACAACTGAAGGAAAGCACCCAATCACCCTTGATCACCTAAGCGACATGGGGTAACACCATCCTTCCCGACAGCTGAAATTGCAACGCATGACTTGTTGAGGAGAGTCCAATGGTTGAGATCCCACAAAGCCAACCTCAGGGAGACCTTCAGGCCATGGCAGAGGACATGATAGGGGACGTGGTTGTGGTTGTTAGATGTGTCTGCAGTTTTAATAGTTGGAACCTTCAGGAATCTAGCCCCCTCTTCTAAAAGGTTTTTTTATGAAAGTTTGGGTGTGTTTGGAGATTAGTGTTACAAGAACTTTCATAGACGCAATCCATCTTGCTGCATCAGGGTATATCATTTTAGTGCACCTCTCTATAAAGGTTCCCTAAAATCTTGCAGCTTTTATTGAACTAAAGAAGGGTCGGGCAGGAGTGGAGGGGATACATTACTACATTCACAAGTTCTGAAATGCAAGCAGAATACATTACTTCCGAAAATCTTTCAAGCTTCTAAATTAAACATACCCAAGCTTACGAGCAAACGGCAAAACAAATCCACCAAGGCAAAGGTCGACATGCAGACAAATTCCATAAGTGGAAGCTAACTCACCAAGATCCTATAGAAAGAAGTTAGAATTAAACAATTGTTTAAAAGGCGTCTCAAAAGAATAGTAAAATAATCATTTAATGTTGCATGCCTCAATCGGGTCAATAATTCCATGAGGGAAGCCAGGTGCTGATCCAACAATCTGCAAAGCATTTGGAGATAGCAACTCAACTTTACAGTTGCAACTGAATGGAAAACTAGTAAAACACTTCTTCAGATAAGAGTGCCAAAAGATGAAACTCCAATCAGATCAAGTTAAAATAGCATGATGAAATCGCCAACACAATATGAAGACATGAAATGCAAATGTATAATATTATGTCATATTGAAATCATTTAATTCTAGCATGACCAAACCCGATACAGAATAATGTTCCGTTGAGAATGTATTTGAGATAAATCATTAATTCTTGACATAATGATGTTTAAGTATTTTGAGTTGTTAATATTGAACTTAATGTGATATGTTAAATTATAATATCCTGCCAAGTACGTATTATGCCAAAGTTTATGTCAACCATTACGTTTGTGTAGCATATTTCCCCAGTACATATCTTCAACACTTAACAAGATGAAAAATTGGGGCCTCAAGTCTAACCAATATTGTTTTCCTGTTTATATGTTGTCTGATCGCTTTAACATCAGCCCGAAAATCTTGGTCCACAGGTACACGCCACAATTTGATTCCGAAATATTGTGCAGCCTTGTCATAAGCTGAATGAGCTGAAACCGGTATAACCCTATTTTCAGAACAATAAATAAATCATGTCATCTTTCGGATAAACAAAACTAGAATATAAGTGTGACTAAAAGTTAACTAACATTTCAGGACTAGTTATCCCTTTCATAGCTTTCATATAGTCACGTGATGTTTTCACTGCCAACAGTATACTTTCTGTCCCTCCCGATGTCATATTTCCACATACTTGTCTGCCTGAAGCCCTTTCGTTACCTCCAAGTAATGCAGCTGTCATTTTCACGACTTCTGCCTCAAATCTTACAACACTTGGGAAAACATCGAGATGCAGAGGATTAGTATGTGCAAACCTGAAAGGACAATTAAAAACTTAATAAGGTACGCGTAGGAAAACAAACATACCATATTCTTATTAAAGATTCACAAATAAAAAATGAACCATCACTAGAATTGGTATAGACTCTCAAGGGAAATTAGAATTGCTGCACACTTTGGATTTTCTTACTAACGTTGTGTATGCCTCATTAACCACAGAAAAGTGCCCTTCCTTTTCGTTTCCTGCAATATAGCTAAACAAAACACATAAAACTTTTAATAACTCAAATAATTAAAATGCAGCCTAACAAAAAGATTTGTAGAAAATATATCCAAGTTAATACACGTACACGGTACCAGAGCATCTTCCCTGCCACGCCACATCCTTTTGTTTATCATCTTTCATCTTATTGATGACCTCAACTCCCAAACCTGCCATGGGCAACTCAGTCCTCCAACCATCTCTATTTGATTTACCAGACCCCTGTAACTTATCCACAACCTACCGACGAAAACAACTTATTTTGGTGATCTGAGTTAACTAAATTCAACTGATGAGAAAACAAATGGAACTGAGATAAATTTCAAAAAGTAAATGATTATTATAATCATTACTTTATGATTATAATTGAATATGCGCTTGATCATACCATTAATTCAAGATTTTTATGATATTTACTTTATTATTTAAAATTATAAGTCAAGAAACAACAGTCAAATGTATGTGAATATAATAAATTCTACTTGGGAGCAAGAAAATTGACTATGCGCTTGATCATAAAGTAGACAAGGAGAAAATGCTCTTCAGATTTTTTTAAAAAAAAAAAACAACAACAACAACAATTCGGTGCATCTATGATCTATCTATCCACAAGCACAACGCCACATTAACTGCAGAATTATTATTGAACTTGCCTTTTGCTTTTCAGCGTCGATGTACTTTTGCGCACCAGGTACCAACCTTGAGATAACAAAGCAAACAAAACAAAAATATATATTATTCGGTCACGAAATATCGGGATTTGACAATCATTTCTTTCGAATATGAATCTCCAAATTCCGATCAAACAAGAAGAAAATAAGGGGTATTGGTTGAATTACTTGACGGATGTGATGAGGAACTCCAGAATCAGAGGTTTCAGGCCTTTCTCGGAGACTAACCGGAAACACGACTGCACAGTTCGCGCGAAGAGAAGAGTGAAAATAGGAACGAGAACGAGCACGACGGGCTCGAACTGAGACAAGTATGAATTTGTCGAAGCTCTAAATCGATTCACACATGAAGATATCTCATCCAAACCCATTCTCTCTCTCTCTCTCTCTGTTGTTCGGGAATTTCTTGAACTTTTTCTCTTCGGAAATGACAATTTCAAATACTGCTCCGTTTGGTTACGGGTACGTTTGGTGAAACGGAGGAGGAAGTGGATGGGATTGAGATATAAGATGATGGTTGGCGAACAAAGTGTTAGATATTATTTTGGTAATGGTGAGCACTTTAACAAAACAAAAAATGAAATCTAGCCATCTTTTTAGCAAAAATGAAATATAGCTATTTGGGTATGTAAAAATACTACTTTATCCCTTAATTCAATTTTTTTCATTTTCCCCCATTTTGGTACCGGAGTTTATCTTCCTTCATAATTCTTCATCCTCGTCTTCGCAAAAATCGAGAGTGAAGAGGGTTTGTGAAATCGTCGTCTTCATCCCTTCATCTTTCGGCAAGCACCAGTTCGCTCGTCGTGAATCGAGAGAGAATGAGGCGGCTCATGTTCTGCTCCTCGTCATGAATCGCAAGCATCCGTTCGCTCGTCTTCCGGTAAGCACCTGTTCAGCTCATTTTCTCTCCGGCGAATCGACCCGGCCGACAATCTGCTGCTACACTTGGTGAGTCGGCCTCCACCGCCTGCTCCCTCGATTTTCCTCTACTCGAACCGATCTCATTCGCTAAATTAGGGTTTCGAAATCAGAAATCCTTGGGAGGTACTAGAATCGACCTCTCTTTTTTCCCCCCATTTGTTTCAGACAACAAGACCTGAAAAAAAAATGAAGGTTCTTTTTTTTTGATCGTAAAATGTAAATATATATAGATCAAAACTGGGTACAAGGACCGTTCCACGGCATACAAAAGCGTAATGGGCAACCACAAGTCGGTTCCTCATTCGCGAGATAGATATACGAGGACAACCACAGGTCGGTTGCTCACTCTAAGGTCACGAGAAGTGAAATGCATAGGGATGTAAACGGGTCGGGTTGGGTGCGGGTTTTGGCATACCCGTACCCGACCCGCCAGTTAAAAACTGTACCCGTACCCGACCCGCTACCCGATTACTCATCACCGGGTTCGGGTTGGGTTTTACCCGTCGGGTAATCGGGTACCCGTCGGGTAATTGGGTTACCCGATTAAGTATTGCCGGTCAAATTAGTTCGGGTTTTTTTTACCCGTATACTCGAATTTCGCCCGATTACCCTACGCCCGACCCGACCCGACCCGACCCGACCATGTACATAAAAAAACGCATGCATTTGAACTATTATCATACCTTCACAAATAGACACAACTTCATTGATTTATTCATAGAATATTACTTGAATAATACTTAGTTACTCATAGTTTGTAATAGTTGTAAAAATGTAGATATATAGAACAAACTATGCACGTATAAACTTATTATCTAGTTTATTATTATTTATTATATATATGTTATTTCTAATAATAAGAGCTATTCTCTTTGTATAAACATTATAAATTGATTATATTTATATATATGATGCTCATACTTATAAAAATAGAAGAAATAACAAAAGTTATGTCCAAATTATATGAATATACCCCATCTTCATTCTTCAATATATATAAAAATTTAAAAATATTTTAGTTACTAAATTAATATTTTTAAAATATGTATTTTACGTATATTTATTTGTATCTATAGTTATTAGGTGTGCGGGTAATCGGGCGGGTAAAAAGTCGGGTCGGGTAAAAAAAAACCCACCGGGTAAACGGGTCGGGTAATGGGGTTTTTTGTTAAACCCGTACCCGACCCGACCCGGACCGCGGGTATAGAAATAAAACCCAAGCACGACCCGAAACACGCCACTACCGGGTATACCCGACCCGATTTTTCGGGTTACCCGGGGGTAACCCGACCCGGTGGGTTTTTCTGACAACCCTAGAAATGCAAAGGGTCCCATGGGATTTGCCCATGTCGGCTCGGTGGAACAAGTCTCGGGTCACACTCAAGGCAATCGTTGGTGCGCTGATTTGCTTCAGGCCTTAGCGGCGCTAGGAGTGATGTGGCACGCTGTCGTGGCATGGTTCCGACGTGGAGAGTCCCTGCCATGTTATCGACGCTTTGCAGCTTAGCGGCGTTATAGGCATAGCAGTGCTTCAATCATAAGGCAACTACTTGCAGCCCATCGTTAACCCCTCGCTACGCGCATAGCGGCGCTATGGGCGAGAAGATAGCGGCGCTATCCCAGGCTAACGGCGCTAGTACCTTGGCTTTTTTCCACGCTTCACACTCGCTAAGGCCTAACGGCGCTACGCAGCTGCACCTTACGGCGCTATGCACATAGCGGCGCTATTACCTGGGATCCCCAAAAATTTTCCTAACTTTCTCCAATTCAACCCAACTTCCCGGTTGGTCGGCCACCCTTCAACCTCAACTCACAAATACCAATCATCAAGGTCTGAGACTCCGTCTCTCAAATTCAGCAAGTACATTAGGATATAGTGCAAAGATAGTGCGATATACGTGAGTTTTTACTTTCCGGACCACAAGGCATGAGGGTTGGTATTCATTATCAAAGACCAATCGGTTCTTTGCATTCCAAATGAAGTAACGGTGGCCGCAAGCGCCGCTTTATTCAACTTGGACCTCCACCCCGCACCTTTCGCCTCCTTCTTGGTCCATTTGAGGGCGCCTTTAAGGGTTGATGGCCTATGCCGAAGGCTAACCCAAGCGCATATCTCATCCCAAATTTCCGAGCCAAATGAGCACTCGAAGAAGAGGTGGCTCAAAGATTCGTTGGCTACCCCGCATAGAGGGCATATCGGGTCCTCATCAAGGAATTCAAGACGGTCTTTAGTCCGGAGTCGGTTAAGCACGCCGAGCCATAGAATGAAGGAATGGCTAGGGTTATTGCAAGCCCCCCAAACAACACCACTCCATGGCCTCATGGGTCCTCTAGGTTGTAGGAAGTCGTAGCATTTACTAGACCCATCATGTCTATCTCGGGAGTTTTACCCTCGAAGAAGGGCTTCCGCTCCTCGTTCACTTCCCGCTCTCTCAACCAAGCTTTGTCGGATGTCTATGAGGGACTTGAAGAGAGTTGAGTCATTCGGTCTAACTTCCCAATCCCAAATGGAGCTCCCTTTTAAATAAATGTTTTGAATCCATTTTTGCCACAATGTGTCCTTCTTTGCTTGCATGTTCCATAGCGTCCAAGTGAGCAACGCTTGGTTCCACGCATTCAATTCCCTAAGCCCCAAACCACCTTCCAAGCGTGGTAGACATACACTATCCCAAGCCACGGGAGCGCTCTTCGATCCCCAAAGGAACCTTCTACATAGTTGAGTGATTTTTGTTCTAACTATGTCGGGCAAGTGGAAGATTCCCATCCAAAAACACACAATGCCTTGGACTACCGAGCGTAGGAGTTCCAATCTTCCGGCATAGGAAAGAGTATGTCCATTCCATCGACTAAGTTGACCCTCAATTTTCTCAATCATATCATCAAAGAGCCTAGCCGTGATACGGTCCGCGGTGAGGGGGACGCCGAGGTACCAAAAGGGCATTGAGTCGCATCGTAGGTTGGTGTTGTCAAGGATTATAGCCCGACTATCGTCCTTGACACCGACCAAGTAAATATTGGACTTTAGTACATTCATCTCAAGCCCCGACTTCGCTCCAAAATCCTTGAGGCAATCCATGAGTACTTGGATTAACTGAGAGTCTCCACGGGATAGAAGCATGAGGTCGTCGGCGAAGGCAAGGTGCGAGATTTTTAATTTCTCACACATCGGATGGTAGTTGAAGTTTGTGTCGAACGCCGTTTTGCTCTTGATAAGCCGAGAGAGGTATTCCATACAAATCACGAAAAGAAAAGGTGATAGGGAGTCACCTTGCCTTAGGCCACGACCGCCTTTGAAGTGGCCCTTGAGGCTCCCGTTGATAGATAAAGAATAGGACGGGGTGGTGACGCACTCCATGACCCATCACGTAAAGACCGGGGGAAAGCCGAGCCCATCAAGCACTTGTTTCAAGATTGACCATGAGATGAAGTCGAAAGCTTTACGTAGGTCTATTTTAATGATACACCTAGGGGAGACCCGTTTCCTCGAGTAGAGTCGAAGTAGTTGTTGCATTAGGTGTATGTTATCGGTCATATTCCTTCCTTTGACTAAAGCGGCTTGGGCCTCATCTATGATGGAGTCAAGGACTTCGGTGACTTGCCTAGCAAGAATTTTGGAACAAATCTTGTAAACCGTGTTACAACACGCAATTGGCCGAAAGTCCGTGACTTGTGAGGAGTGGGAGGACTTCGGAACAAGCGTGAGGGCCGTATGGTTCCATTGTTTGAGGAGTGAGCCGGAGCGAAAGAACTCTTGGATGGCCGCCACCACATCACCTCCAACGATGGGCCAACTCTTCAAAAAGAAAGTAGAGGTATAACCATCCGGACCTGGGGACTTACCACCTTTGATGTCTCCAAGTATGTTCTTGTCCTCGGTGACCGGGGAAATGAGGGCCCTACAATCATCAATTCCGACACGCGGTTCCGTCTGAAGGATTTGGGGATCAATATCCTCCGATTCAACTCCGGTTCCCAAGAGAGCCTCGTAGTAATGGACAAACTCTTTGGCTACTTCCTCCATAGATTCGGTGATGGTGCCGTCCTCCCGGTTGATTGAGGCGATGAAGTTCCGTTTTGCTCGCTTTTTGACCAAGCCATGATAGAACTTGGTGCATTTATCCCCTTTGATTTGAAAGTTACATTTAGCCTTTTGTTGGTAGAAGAGCTTCTCCGCTTTGGCCAATTTGAGAGCTTCAAGTCTAAGCGAAGGCATCTTGGCCTTGGTCTCGGGGTCATCGAGATTATCATGGAGCTCTTGTTGTGCATCCTTGAGGGCCTTCTTAGCTTCTTTAGCCCGGGAGGAGATATGTGAGAAAGACTCCTCATTAAGAGCCTTAAGCGAGATTTTAAGGTTCTTCAAATTGTTCGCGAGGCAGAATTGCCTCGATCCCCCACCACCATGGTTCCAAGTGTCTTGGACATTCGACAAGAACTTCTCGTGGGCCGT